TTGCATAGTATTAAAGCATCTTCTCCACAAATTGCTTGTTACAACTGGCAATTGCAAGCAAAAAAAATATATACGAATAAGTTTTAAATAATTGTATACTACTACATGGGAAGCACCCTGATTACATGATCAAAATGAATATATTTAACAAGGAGCTGATGGCAATTGTGTGCCTCAGATGTGATACCATGGGGACACAACGTAATGCATGTAATATTAGAGAACGCATAACTGGAATCTAATCATGAGGAAACATTGAACAAACCTCAAAATGAGGACTATCAAAAAACAAAAGACTGGGGCACCTGGGTGGCTTAGTCGGTTAAGCGTCCTACTTTTTCTCAGGTCATGATTTCACGGTTTGTGAGTTCAATCCCCACATAGGGCTCTGTGCTGACACCTCAGAGCCTGGAGCCTGCTTCAGATTCTGTGTCTCCCTCTCTCTGCCCCTCCCCCACTCATGCTCTGTCTCTGTCTCTCAAAACTAAATAAATGTTATAGATGATAACCAGATGGCTTTCCTATAGCTCTAATTATGTGAAATATTTTTGGTAGTTAAGAATATGCTGGGGTTGTGGTGACACCACCACCCAAAATGTGATGAAATAGTTATGAAAATGGAATCTGATAATTCACTATTGTTTGAATGCCTAATCTTGAGCTAATGCAGACATCTCTTCTTCCTATGGAACCTGAATGGAGAAAGCTTTGACTTCCAAGTGTCAAATCAACGGATTTGTATGGCACAAGAAACAGATGTATTTTCTCCAGAATCCAGGGAAAAAATGCATCCCATGCCCTGATGGGTTCCACCAGGAGAAACTAATGACCATCCTGGGAAACCAGCTCATTGTCTCTGAAATGAGCATCCAAGGTTTTCTCAGCTACGCGTATTCTGAGCCAGCTCTGATACTGCCAAGGTGCAAGAGAGGACAGTCTTTCTGATCCTTCTGTGTCTGGCAAACCTCTTCATGCACTATCTTAGCATCTGCACATCCTCAAATAAAGACCGTCTGTCGCCTTTGCAACCAGAAGGCACTTGCTTGACTGTATACTACATACTGGGAATTTTTTTTTCCTAGATCATCTATTTTAACCCATAATGCTTCTCAGTCTTCCACTTTTAGCTTCTCTTCCAGTTTCTCTGCTTTGGATTATTGAATGTCATCATCAAATCGTTTTTTGGTTCATCTTCAGGAAGAATTCTATCACAGTTTCTATCAAACAATATATTTTCTTGTTCCAGTGTGTCTTTAAATTGTGGCACAAGGATGGAAACATGATGGGAAGAATTTTTGCTGTATTGTCCCTGATTAAACTCAGATTCTGGGTTTACAGTTATTTTCTTTCAGCACTTGAAAAATGTTGTTTCACCTACTTCTTGGCTCCCATGGTTCCTGATGAGAAGTCCACTATCATTTGAATTGTTTTTCTGTTACTGATATGGTACCCTTTTTCTCTTGCTACTCTCAGGATTCTTCTTCGTCTTTCATAGTTCTCAGAAATTTGATTATTATCTGTCTTAGGCTGCATATCTTTGTGTTTATCCTGCTGGCATTTTCTTAGATTCTTGAATCTGAAGATGTATGTCTTTAGTCAGATTTGGAGACACTTTTGAGTACTATGATATTCTGGATTTTTATGTGAATCTTGTGATTTAGCAGGCTTCTCCTGACATCACTCTGGTGGGAGAAGGAAGTTCACCACTGAGCTGTTCGCATTCGGTGGGAATGGAAGTCCAAGTTACTCACCTTCTTTTGACAGCTCTGGGGAGGGGAATTTCTTGTTACTGTTGAGCAGAAGTAGAATTTCAGGCTCCCTACTAGACCACCACCATTAACAACATCTTGTCAAGGATGGAAGAGGCATTCTCTTATTACCACATAGCTGTCACTGAGGCTGTGTGTGGGGACGCTCAATACTACCAGCTGGGTGGGAATGAAAGTCCCAGCTCCCCATACAGTCTTCTCTGACATTATCCTCGCAGGAACAGAAGAGTAACTCATTGCAATCTTTGCTATTGGGGATAAGATGGGTCCACAGTTTTTTCTGTGGTGTTTGGCTGGAGTAGAGAGGTTATTTTCATAAAGGTTTTCTGTCATTCTAGGCTGCCCTTTTCATGGTCCTTTGGCTGGAGAGACACTGGCTTTTCTTGGAGCTTTTTTAAAATCCGTACCCACTGGCATATTGTGTTGCCAGCTTCTCCAACACCCAGGTCAGGGTATATGAGGCAAAATGAAAATGTAGAAAAGTTATCACTGTGTCTTTCTTCACATTGCAAGATCCCTAGCTGGCCTGCCTTTGGTCCAACTTTCAGAGTCTTCTTATATTTGTTTTATGTGTACAATATCAAGGATTTTTAGCTGTAATTAGTGGAAGATACAGGGACAAGTGTTCCTATTCCAGCTCATCCCATTATCTGTTCACCTTCGCTTATGACAGTGTTTTGATGGGTATAAATATCTGGGCTGACAGGGTTTTTTTCTTCTTTTTTTAAATGTTTTTCTTTATTTTTGAGAGACAGAGCACAAGTAGGGGAGAGGCAGAAAGAGGGAGACACAGAATCTGAAGCAGGCTCCAGGCTCTGGACTGTCAGCACCAGGCCTGACCCAGGGCTCAAACTCATGAACCTCGAAGTCAGAAGCTTAATGGACTGATGGGGCGCCTGGGTGGCTTAGTCGGTTAAGCGTCCGACTTTCGCTTAGGTCATGATCTCGCGGTTCGTGGGTTCGAGCCCCGCGTCGGGCTCTGTGCTGACTGCCGGCTCAGAGCCTGGAGCCTGTTTCAGAGTCTG